AAAAAAGAATAATAATCTGATGGAATGAAAAAAGGAAGAACAACAATTGTAATAGCTGTGGAAAAATTTCTTTATACCTAGTTATACTTTGTTCTATACCAGTGGTTCTCAACCTTTCTAATGCCGCGACCCCATAATACAGTTCCCCATGTTGTGGTGACCCCCAACCACTTATACATCACCGGGTGCCAGGGGCATGGCCAAAGAAAAGGGGAAAAAATGGCGGACAGCCTTGTTTGGTGACCCCCGTGAAATGGTCGTTCGACCCCAAATGGGGTCCCGACCCACAGGTTGAGAACCACTGTTCTATACTATACCTTATGTGTCTACTTCCCATGCATGCAGTTATTATAACCTCAGCTCTCATAGTTGCTTGCCTTATGCAGAAGTCTACATTTGTTTGTACAGACATATTAGAACTAACAAGTTAAAATTAATTCCATAGTCCATTGTATTAATATAGTGACATAATTAATGACATGTATACTATCAGTACATGTAAGTAAATATTCAAAACTTTTTTTTTAACTTCCCCAATAATTAGAAGACTCCAGGAAGGGTAGTGTGTGGAGCATGAGGAATGAAATCTGAGAATGGAAATTACATGTTCTATATATCATTGGGTGTATTAATAATAATAATTAATTTTGGGCCTAGGTTCTTTGGAATTTCTGTAAATGATAATTTGTTGTCCTCTAATATGATCTATTTCAATTTCAGGCAATAAACATGAAACGTACATATAAAAATAGTTCATAAATTTATCGTGCATTTTTTTATTTTAAAAAATCAAAATTAGAACGATCAATGGACTTATAATTTATTTATTTATATCAATTTATATAGCCATCCATATAATAGTGACTCTTGGCAGTAAAGCAAAATAATCTCATCATAAATATTGATTCAATATTGCAATAACACAACATTGATTTAAGGCAATCAACTCAAGTACATAATCACAGTAATGCCAAAGGAAACCACATGATGAGCCAACCCAAATCACAGGTCCCGTATCTGGGAAAGCATCTGGGTCTTCAAGAATTACAAAATGCCAGAAAATCTCAGTAATGTGTTCCAAAAAGAATGTGACAATGTCCACGCTTCCTGGATCCTGCCAGTTAGCATTGCTTAATAGATGGGAACTAAAGCTAGCTTTCTCTGCTGGATCTAGTAAGCTGGACAAAAAAATGAGTCAGGCAATACTGCAAATAACTTGGTCCTGTGATGTGTTCCTACAAACTACTGCACAAAATTTAGCTACTCTTATAAATGTATTAGCATCTGGGCTGGATAAGTAAAAAGTAAATGATAGATTTAGGTCTGAGTCACCTAAATAAAAGATGATCAGAAATTAGACACTAGTGATTATCTTTATAAAGATCATATCTTAAGAGCACATGGTCTACTGATTCTGCTACAAGGCTTGTTTTCATTTTTTTCCCATATTGCTCTGGAAAGGAAACAAGTGCACCCTTCTATTTGTAAAACATTTTTAATAATTAATATATCTACTTGGCTTGAGCAAACCATTTATTCTATTCAAACTATAATCTTAAAATAATATTTAATATGCATTTGGGGAAATTGTGCATTTAGATTTTTAAATACCAGACAATTTATTTATTCATTACACTGGAAACAAATTTTCTGAAATGTTTTGTTTCCTGAAAAACCGTTAGTGATTATGATAGACCCTTTCAAACTAAACACAAATATTTCAGAATGACTGTATCATGTAGGAATCTTTAGAAATGTGAAATTAACTTTTAATGGCTATAATGTATTTAATTGCATGTTAGCAACTGCATGCATGGGTTCAATATGCCTAAAATGTTTTGCTGCTGATTTTTATTTGTATTCAATGTCCGATGCATTTTGCTGCAGTATCTAACAATCAGCCAGCATTAATGAATTTCAGTTGCTCTAATACTGTTTTTCAATTGTGGCAATGTCCTTGTGAAAACTTTCATGTTTGTCTCTGGCTGCATCTAGATTTCCGAGAAAGGAGTCCAAGTGGGAATGCAGAAAATGAATCTTTGGTGACATGCTTCACTTCATGGTCTTGTATGCTTTGTCAACCAGCTGAATGTAGTTTGGTGCCAAGAAAATTCAAAACAACCTTGAATGATTTTCAAGTGATTTTCTTTGTCTCTATTAACAGATCTTCAAATCACTTGTCATGAATCTGATCTGATTTTGTTGCTCTGACAACAAAAATGCCTTCAATATCTTTTAGTAACTCTTAATCAGGTATTATTGGAAACATCTATCTTAAATAATGAAAACCTTCACCATCGCTTTCACAAAAAAAAATCATCAGTCTGAGCTTTATGGAAGTGGAGGCAAAATATCTTTGTTGGATTAAGAAGTTCATGTGCCACATTTTTCTGTCCTGGAACCAAATTATTTTGGATTGACCCTTTCTTTTTAATGTAATGAAACTCTTTTTGCACAGCTGTCCAACTCACATTGTAATAACAGTATCTGGAGTTGCAATGCAAGCAGCAGAGACACTGCTTTCCTATCTCCACAGATAATCCAGTTATACTTGGTGTTCTGGGTGTGCTTCAATAGTTCCATTTTTTTGTATGTTTCTTTCATATGTGCAGCATAGCCAACAGGTACTGTTGCTATTGTGTACAATTTTTTTTAATAAAATGGTACGATAGGTTAAATTAGAGGTTATTGTCATGATTAGCAATCAAACATCTTTAAGATAAACCCAAAAGTGTTCAATATTATTATAAATTACATGCCACACTGTTTCTAGAGATTTTGAGTGGTTTACAGTGTTAATATAAGATTAGAATAGTATTCATTGATTTTATTTTTAATGAACCATTGCAAAGCAATACCATTACCAGGAAGATACCTTAAATAGGTAATTATTGATAGATGCCTATTAAATATCTAGTGAATTTGTTATTTGGGGCAGTTTAGACTCTCCTATGCTATCTGCAAGATAGAAAAAAAAACAATTAATCATTGCTTTTCCTTGTTTAGGAAAACCTATGTTCTCTCAGCTTTCACTTTTACCCAGCACCATAGTCTTTTCATTCTACCTCTTTAATTAGAAAATGTATTTAAAAATAATGTACTTTTATTTTAGATTAATGACCTGGTATCTCTTAAATCTGATAGACTTCATCGTCTGACTTTCAACTGTGGAACTCATAACCTAAATTTAATACTAATAGTTGAAATCCAACGTACATTGTTGTTGTGAAAAAAACAGGAGGAAGGAATATCAGGTATGTTTTCTATGAGTTATTTATAAAAGTAATAAAGATGGGATATAAATAAATATCAGCAGCCCTAAGGAGCTAAATCAGCAGCCCTAATCTTAAATCAGTAGCCTTAAATCAGGTCTTTAAATCAGCAGCCCTGGGGAGGTATTAACAGAAGATGTGCCAAGAGATGTAATTTTAAATAATCTTAGCACTCATTTCATATTATATCTAAATAAAGGCTCCATAGTCCTTTATGAATGTAGTTTGGTGCCAAGAAAATTCCAATTCTATCTACTATGGCTTCTGACCGATAGAAAATGTCTACAAAAATGGCTTTCAGTAGTATTTACATAATGCCTAGCCAAGTATAGTTGTGGGAATACATGCCTAAAAAAAAACCGGAAAGCTTAAAGAATAGGAACTTTAATAGGGCTTTTTCTTCTTGCTGCAACTGTCATGTGGAAGCAGTCCACACAAGTGACTAGCCAACATGGAACCAACCAAAGTTTGTATTCGCGGACCAAACTGCTTTTCAAATGATTGCACTGGTTTAGAACCGAGGTCCTACTTTCCAATCATGCTGCTGGGAAATAAAACTGACTGAAATATTAGGCACCGCGCTGATTTCTTAATGGCAGCCTTGCTGTTTTCTTACGCCTCTCACCCATTCGTTCTCTTTTTCTCTCTCGCACATAAACACTATGGCAAACCTCCTCCGATGTAAGTACTTGGGCAAGAGGAGAGGAAGTGACTAAACATGAAACAGCAAACGTCGTCATCTGGGTTCTGACAGGGATGACATAATAAGCAACCCCGAACATGAAATCCGTCCTCCTCCTCCATCACCCCCATCAAGAGCCTGTGAACGCAAACGGTCCGCAGCTTTCCCTCCTACTTTCCGAGTGTAAATACCGGACCGCTGGGTGGCTCGAGACAACGTCGTTTCATCTCAGCCCAACCTCCTCTCGTATCTACTGCCCGTCGTTCAAATGCGTTGAAATCTGCGTCTTTTGCGCTGTCAGTGCTACCGGAGCAGTCGCTCCTACTCGCTTCGGCACTCTTTGCACCAGAGCTTAAGCACACAGTCCACTAGCCACTACCTCAGCCCCTTTTCACGCGCTTACCATCCATTGTCCCCCGCCCCGTCGTTTTTTGCAGACTGAAAGCAACAGCATGACTGCCCGCGCGGGCGCCAAGCACCCCTGCGGGTACCTTTTCGGAGGAAGATTAATGCTGGAAAAGAGGCGGGACGAAGGAGCGCAGAGGAAGGGCAGAAGAGCTACCCACCACCCCGCTTCTCCTCCGCCCCCACCCCAAGGGAAACGCTCGTGGCAAAGTCAACGACCCGGAGCCCGCCGGGCCTCATCAAACGCCACGGCCCGACCCACACACGTCATGGAAACAAGCACGTCAACCAATCCTACCCTATAGGAAGGCGACAGGAAGGCGGGGAAAAAAAAAGACACTCACCGCCCTTTCGGGCACATTTCCCAGTCCCCGCCCCATCTCTTATGCCCCCCCTTTTCTCCCCCATACCCATGAAGGAACCGTGTCTTCGAACCCCCTCCTCTTCCTCTAAATTGAGCGAGACCCTGTCACGTGACGGGGACCGGGCCGGTTCGGAGCCTGGCAGCTCCTGGCGTGCTCGAGGCGGGGGAAGTCGGCCCGGCACGGCGCGAGCGAGCAAGCAAGTAAGTGGCCAGCTTTTTGGTGGAGGGTGAGGGGTGGATGGGAGAACGGCGCTGTCTCTTTGCGGGGCTTGGGGCGAGACCCGACTTAGCCGCCGGCTCCTTCCTTGGGAGAGTGGCCTGGAGAGGAAGGCGGGCACAGCTGCTCTGCTTGCACGCGTGCTTGCCTACCGCCGACTAACGAGGGCGAGGTGCTGCCAGGGTGTTAGTGCCGAGGGCGGGGCGAGCTCCCTCCTCCGCTGCTGCTGTTGCTGCCGCCGCCGCCGCCTCGGCCGCTTGCCGCCTCCTTTCCTGGTCGCGGGCTGGCTCGGTGGTGGTGGTGGCGGCGGCAGCTTGCGCGTTCAGGGCTGGATTGGGGGATCTTGCGTGGTAGGTGAGCAGCAGGCTTTGGTGCCGATGGCGGCAGCCGCGGGTCTTATCGCGTGTGAACCTGGGCGGCGATGAATGAGCCTAGGTAAGAAGGGGAGACCATGTCCGAAATTGGGGACCTCCAACTGGAGGGGCAGGTGTCGGGGTTCCGCTGAACGGCATGGGCCGATAGGCGAGAGAATTGGCGAGCCGGAAGGAAGTGGGGTGATGAGACCTGGCCGGCGCGGTGGGCCCATTTGCGCCCATTTGCACCCTCCTCTGCCTTCCCCTCGGTGGGCGATGGAGAGACCACGCCGGCCGCCTCGGAGCGAAGTGCCGTGTGACCTTGAGGGCACCCCGAGCAAGGCTGGTGGCCAGTTACGGCTGCCCGGCCTCGAATCTCCGCGCCACCTGGTTAGACTAGGAGTGAACTGCTGCTCTCCCCCCTTGAGATAATAGATCCGAGGGCGCGCAGCTCGCTTCGCCGCCGCGTTGCGCTCTTGGAATGACACCCTCCCCCCGGACCTTTCAGCCCGGCGTCCGCACCGTCCGGTTAACAAGCCGATGCCTTGCGGTCTCCGATAGCTTCGGTCTGTATGATCCCTTTTGGTGGGGAGTCAGCTGTTCAGCCTTGTCTGGCAGGGGATCGTTGTGGTAGTTCTGAACTTGAGCCTGGTTTTCTCTGCTTTTCTACCTGTAAGATCGTTGACTTTTGATAGTGAAGTATATTGCTGAAAATGAAACGATTGATTGTATTCCTGTTTTTCCAGCGGACACTCCGACCATCAATGTTATTTATAAATGGTAAAGGAGATTTTATTTTTTTAAAAAAATTGGACCATGAAAGAAACATTTTGGAAGCATCCCTGAATTGTAGCTTGACGCCGGTGAAGCTGGTGAAAACAGCCTTGGGTGTTGTAGATTTTTTTCTGGTTTTTATGGCATGCTTGTAAGACCCTTGCTTGCAACCAGCACTGAGCTTATGAATTCACCCTCACTTGGGGGGAGTGGAAAGGGGAAGCTATAATCCAAGTAGTAAAGGCACTTGGAAGATTGGTGGCTAAGACTACTACCTCATGTATTCATCAGCTGATATGTACTTTTAAGTCATTAATATAAAAAAACCAAATAGAGGAGAAACTTGAGATACTGAAGAGCATCCAATGTGAAAACTAATTGATAAAAAGTTGGCTTATGTAATATATTGCTGCTATGTATTGTAACCACATCTGTTGTAGAAAAAGACCCAGTTCAATAAAGTAGAGTAGGATGTTGAAATAAATGCCTATTCTTTTGGCCTATGTATTTAGGTGCAATTCTAATACTGTGATAGCCAGTTTTGTTTTGCTGGTCTCCCTGCCCCCCCCCCCAGTAAATAGTGAAGCTGCTATGTTTGTTCTATAAATTTAAATATATGAAAAGCATGAAGTGTTTGCTAATATGCAGACTAGTAAATTTTGCTGATTTCAATACAAATAGATACTGTAAAACATTCAAAGTTGAGATATTCATGTAAAAAAGTGCCACATAACAAGAACTGGGAAATCCTTGCTTGAAATTTCACCTTTTCCATGAGCCTATTTCATAGCCTTAGGAAATCGAGTGGTAACCTCAGCTTGCTCTCATCACCTTCAGCCTTGAATATAGGAAAAATAATTACCAGTATATGCAAACATTTTTCCTGTGAGATAAATATAAATATAGCTGTCAATAGAACATGAAAAAATATGTATATGTTAAAGGATAGAGTTTGATGTCAAACAGCCAAAATGAGGTTCTTGATAGTGAGTTTCCAGATCCAGTATATTATTTGTATATTTGAACATGCAAACCATACAAAGGAATGTGTCTTTGAGTTCTATAATCAAAATAATAATTGTGTCTTCCTGCTTTATAAGAGCAATTGTTTTTAAAAAGATTAAAAATAGTTTATCAAATCAATGATTGTCGCAGAGACAAGAGAAAAAAATAACATTCCCTATATTGTTAGTAAATGAAAGGTGAATAAATGCGTCTTAATTAGGAATTCATCTGAAAATTGCTGTCTTAATGCATTGGCAAAATGTTTTAAAGGAATAATATTGTAAGATTGGGAACCTATTTTAAAGTCATTCTTTTCATGATTATATAGGAGAGATACTCATAACTTCTAAAAGAAGGGTGGATGGAGAATAGTACTGTGAAACAGATGAAAGGGATCTCAGCTGGTATAAAGGAGATTGAAATATTTTGTGAAACCTGATGATATTCTCTGATTAGCAAGGAACAATATTGAAATATCAATACTTAAAATCCATTTTGCAGATATGGCCTTGTTTATATACCTCCATCCATAAGGCTGATTCCTATTTTTACTTATTAAAAGTTATCTCTAGATAATGCTATATATAAAAATGTGCTAAGCGCATATTTTCTGGGTTGTCTTCTTGCTTTCAGTGCTGATACAGAGTAATTATATATTTATGTATGCTTTGTCTGCTAGGACCCATAATTCATAAAGGTAACTATAGGATTTGTATGTTATACATTTAGGATATAAAACTTTCAGGTGTTTACATGCCATGTTACAATTTTCTCGAAAAACTAAGTTTGGATCCTAAGTTTCTGTGTTGTCTGTAGGTGGTAAAATAGTCAAATTGGGAAAGTATCGTTTTAACTAGTTGCAAATGCATTTACAGGTTCAAGTCAAAAGCTGGATTAAGTTTTTTAAATCTTCAAATAATTTTGATCAAGAATATTTGAAGGAATGCCTACAGATGTATGAAACCACTAGTTTGAATGATTGCTTGTTGGTCTGCTATTAAAGGTTAAAAAGATTCATGAGGACCTGATGTAGAATCATTTTAATGGAAGACCCTATCTTATGTAACTCTACTCCAAAATATTTTATCTGGGACTTAAGAAGTTGTGTGCACTATTATGTCTATCATGTCTACATATATTAAATCTGGACTGTTTAACTGATTTACTTTTTTAAATATATATATATGCATGAACTGTTATATTTCTGTAGAGTTCCATGTTTTATGTTTAAACTTATTGAAGAAATTTAAAAAAATGAAAAGTGGCTAATAGTACATTAAATAACCAAAATATGAGGTTAGAATAGCTAGAATCATTGGATAGTAAATTCACAAATGATTCCTGCAGTTTGATTTACACATTTTTGTGTTTGAGCATGACCATTCATTTTGAACTATTGAGTTGTACTGTATTGATACAAAAAAGAACAGTTTAAAATTAACTGAAATTTATTTAAATTTTTATTTTTGTAAATCATGCATATCTATTGTCTGACATGTATATTTCCCTTTACAAGTTTTCACTTGATAAATTTTTGGTGTAATAGTGGAACTTGATATAGGCAATATTTCATTTGAAGATTGCATAAAGGACTGTACCTAGAGACTTCCATACCTTAGAAACAAAATCAGGGTGATGGAAACTGCAAAATGAATCTTGAAATTGTATATTAATTAAAGTATATGTCATAGGCCTATTTTCATATGTTCAGATATGGGGAGTATATTTTCATTTTATTTTTCGTTATTTTCAATTTTTTACTTTAAATAAAATTTATCTGTTGCTTTGCTATGTGAATATGAAATTACTTATTCTGTAGTGTGTTATGTAGGTTGTAGGCCAGATCCTTTCCAAAATATTTAGGTTTCTTTGGTGAACTGTTACATATTTTGTGCATTAGAATTAATCAAATTATGTAGTTGATGGTGTTAAAAAATACTGTGGTAACAATTGTCTTAGTTCTTAATTTGTCTTGTGGTAATTTTGGGATTTTGAGAGCAAATAGTGGGAACAATGCTTCTAGAAGGAAGCTTTTTTCACAAAGTAATTGTCTTAGGGGTTTGGTTGGCCACAAAACAAAAACTAAAACTGAATGGGTTGGTGGGAAATCAAAGGAAGTATCCTTGGGAATTTTGGTGTCCACAGGATCCCTTGTTTTTGTTCAGTTACAAAAACATTTATTGTACAGTTGTGCACAAAAAGAGGAAATAATTGTGTGAGATCCAGAGTAAGATACCACATTCTGGAGATTCTGCTGAAGTGTTTTTCATCAGGAACTGAAACCCAGAATTTTTTGTTGTTGTTCCTTGTTTTGTAAGTACTTCAGGAGGCCTGGGTGAAGAGGGTAAAAAGGAAAAAAAATGGATCCAGGAAATTACAGACCTATCAGCCTGACCTCAATACCTGGGAAGATCCTGGAAAAGATAATCAAACAACGAATCAACGAACACCTAGAGGCAAACAAAGTCATTACTAAAAGCCAACATGGGTTTGTCAAAAATAGATCATGCCAGACAAATCTTATTGCATTCTTTGACCAAGTGACAAAATTAGTGGATCAGAGGAATGCTGTGGACATAATTTACTTGGACTTCAGTAAGGCATTTGATAAAGTAGATCACAACCTACTACTTGACAAGATAGAAAAATGTGGGGTAGACAGAACCACCACCAGATGGATCCGTAGCTGGCTGACCGGCCGTACTCAGCGAGTGGTCCTCAATGGAACTGCATCTATATGGAGGGAAGTGTGTAGTGGGGTGCCCCAGGGCTCTGTTCTGGGCCCAGTACTCTTCAACATCTTCATCAACGATTTGGATGAAGGGATAGATGGGGAACTCATCAAATTTGCAGATGACACCAAGCTGGCAGGAATAGCCAACACTCCAGAAGACAGGCTTCAGATACAGAAGGATCTGGACAGACTTGAACACTGGGCACTAACTAACAAAATGAAATTCAATGGTGAAAAAAGCAAGGTTCTACATTTAGGCAAGAAAAACCAAATGCACAAGTACAGCATAGGTGGCACCATGCTCAATAGTAGTAACTGTGAGAGGGACCTCGGAGTCCTAGTAGACAATCACCTAAATATGAGCCAGCAGTGTGCTGCAGCTGCCAAAAAGGCCAACACAGTGCTAGGCTGCATTAACAGAGGGATAGAATCAAGATCACGTGAAGTATTAATACCACTCTACAATGCCTTGGTAAGGCCACACTTGG